CCCCACCCCACCCCACCCCCGCACAGTAAAAACTGTATATAACTTACTTAACTACTAATAGCCTCCTGTTGACTGGAAGCCGTATCCACAACATAAAGTCATTAACACATACTTGTTATATGTGTTATATACTTGGTTCTTACAATAAAGCCAGAAAAAAGAAAATCATAAGGAAAATACGTGTACAAATCTGTACATAATTTATTTTTAAATATCTGCATATAAGTGGACCCAAACATGTTGTTCAAGGGTCAACTGTACATATGATTTTGATAGTTATTGCCACATTCCTTTCCAAAAAAGTTCTACGCATGAATACATTTTTTCAGACTACATGAAAAAGACTATTTTTTTCTAAAATAGTATTTCATAGAATAGAAGTATATGAAGTTTGGGAAATCTTCTAAAGAATAAGAAATCAATATTTGTTCTCCTGTGGAGGCTTCTGTAATCCCTTGTACTATCAAAGGGAGAAAAGAAACAGTGTTTTCCACAAATTTTATCTTCCTCTTGCTAAATCGGTTTGTTTCCCTTTCTCCTTGACTTTCGCCTTGACTTTTTCCCTCTTCCCTATCACCCTACTACAAGATGTGCACATATATATATATATGAATGCAATTTTCTCACTTGTAAGAGCCTTTGACACATAACACACTTGTCACATAATTCCACCACAGAGACAGCAAAGGAGTGATTGGTGTACAGCCAAATGTCTCCACAGAAGGAAAATTTAAAAATATGGTTATTTTCATTCTTTTCATTCTTGACTGTGAGAAAGAGGCTAAGTCCTTTCCAGAGAGGCTTCTTTCCACCATTTTCCTAATTGAAACCTTTCTTGCAATGACTGGGAAGTAAAGTTAGTTGATGTATTTATTAATTAAGGCTCTGCCACTGACCAGTGGGCTGTCTTCCCTGTCTGGTGCCTCCCCTGCAGTGGGCCTGCTCCCCACCACAGCTCCACCACTTCTGACACAGCTCCAACCCACAGGTGAAGCCACTGCATACCAAGTGCACATCTTCTCAACTAGAAGTTCTTCTTCAGTACAGCTGTAAGTTACTTCTTCTGCCCCACCAGGCCAACTCAAACAGATGCTCCTTTTATTGGAAACATAAGCAGTTTAGAGACAGGTGCTCTGCTCTCCTTGGCTCACCTGATTTACCTGAAATATTACAGCACCAAGTGAGACTAAGATTAGACACAAATGCAACATCTAAATAGATAACTGGAATATTTTGCATGATGTTGGCCAGGGTATTTTTATTGGATCGGGAATTTTTTCCAACTTTTGAAGAGCATTTCACCTGTACCACCTTAGATGGCAGGACAGCAAGATGGCTGACTGCATGGACGCTGAAGCCAAATAGTCTTGATTTGAGTTTTGGCTCTGCCTCGCTAGGTAGTCTTGGGCAAGTTAACTAACTTCTCTGAGCCTTCCCATGAAATGAGGATAACAACAGCATCTACTTCCAGGGTTGTTGAGATGATTAAATGAGTTGATGAATATAAAGTGGTTCGTGTAGCACCTGGCACAGAGTGAGTGTGCACTGATCATTACCCATTGTTACTATTTGTATGAGAAGTAGAAGTAACAGCCTGCATAACCATTCTCCATGTGATCCTTGCTGGAAGGATTACAACAGTGAAGTGGAACTCCCCAGTTAGCTGTAAGTCCTGTCCCCCACAGATCTCCAGCTAGGTCTAGGACAGTGCCCTCTTGCTATGAAGGATCCAGTTCACTGCTGTTTTTAGTAGAACATGTTTCACAATATAATAGTTCAAAGAAACTTCACAAACCCCATCCCAAAATTAATACTCTCATTCACAAATGAGAGTACATATGCTCTAATGTTTTTTATGTTCTCTAGTCACTGCTCATACAAAAAATAAGTAACTAGAACATTCCAAAAGACCAACAGAATTAGAATTTACACCTTCCCCCAACAAAAAAATTGCAATGTATAATAAAGGATTATTGAATTACAGTAAAATTTGTGAGGATTCAAATGGGTGGCTTCAACTTTGGCTTTTTGCTATCTATTAACCAAAAACCAAAAGTTTACCAGGTAAACTAGGCATGGAAACAAACTTGGGGAATGAGTAGACCAATTATTAATTCTCTTAAGAGAATATATGACTCTGAAGAGTAGCCAGAGGAGGCAAGAAAACTCTGGATACCTTATTATGAAACTGAGCTAGAGTTTTACATTGAGAAAATGGACAATCACCACTTGATAACTTTTCATGGTAGAGTATCCATATTACTGCCATGGTTGAAAGGTATAGAACCACTTAAAAGATACAGCTCCTTATAATTCAGAATCATCATTAATTTGACAAATCCTCCCCCTCATCAGTGTTTTCCACTTAAATGGCAACCTTCAATTTAGGCACTTAGTTAATTCTTCCTGTCTGAACCAACCCTGATTTCTTCAGTTCTACCAACTCCTTCCCCCAGTTCATCCTGCATGGCACCACAAGCCTCATCTACCTGCAGCTGCACAGCTGTGATGTCACTGTTCCATCCGCAAGTCCTGCCTTCACCTGCCCCAGCACATACACACACACACATACACACACACGATTCCAGGAGGAAATCTCAATTCTTATTGTGGTACTAAAAAGTTCCATGATGTAACTTTCCAACCTCATTGTCTACCACTTCCCTACAAGAACTTTAGACTTTGGTCAGGCTGCACAACTACCTGCTGGGCTTTCCTACTTATCCTCCTTTAATCATGACATCTCCTGTACTTAGAATGTCTACCACATCCCCACTCACTGACATCCTTCCCATCCTTCACACCAGTTCAAACACCGCCTCCTCCACCAAGCTTTGGGTCACTCATTTCGGTAGAAGCATACCTTCCTTCTTCATGCAGCACATGCCCACCACATGTAACTGGCATTCATGACATAGTATCATGTGCCCTAGAAAGGACATCTTATAGGAAGCACCTTGAGTACATGCACTGTGGAATCCATAGGGGGATCTACTGTGGCTTCTCACATAGATCACATGCTTAAAAATGATTTATTAACTTCAACCAATGACTCATACTGTGCTTTAGGCCAATCCCTGAAAACCAACAACTCTGGGAACAGAGACTAATTCATATGACTGTCTAAAGAAGACATGTGTGGATTTCCACCAGAAAAAAAATGTAACTCATATGATAAGGAATTGTTCTGAAACTAGTATATAATAAGGATTAACTAATTCATCATTTTACTGAAATATATTTACCTTTGAATTGATGGAACACCAATAGGAAATTGAACAAAGGCAAGAAAGAAATTTCTTAATATATTACCTAATTGATTCTGATATACAGTCAATAATCAAAGCTTTTAAGAAGATGACTCTTTTCAGTACATAGGAAAATACTTGTCTTCTAATTATTATATATAACATCTTTAAGGGGTTGTCAGCTATATGTTTCTTGCCCTAATTTTAAATGTAACTTAAAAGTAGACTACATAATTGTATGTAAGGTAAGGGATTAGTAGTGCAAATAGAAAAAAAAAAGTCTCCCGTTTTACTTAAGTACCATTGACACTGCTATACTAAGAATGCCTTTATCAGGAATGGCATAGAAAGAACAAACCGGTTTATACATTAAAAACACGTCAATTATTTCATGACCCAATGTCAAACAGAAAAACTGCCTGAATGGTTTAGAAGTCTATCATATCATACCACATTTGACGTACATCGAATGACATAGAAATCATTTATCATTAAAGGCCTTTTTATACAGGTCAAGGTTGCTGGGGCTTGGTGTTTTGTATCTTACATTTTAAAGAATGCTCTAAATTCTAGGTTTTTTAACTTTTTAATCTTTGGGAAGGAAAACTAAAACTTCCTATAAACTCAGATTAATGCCTGCTAATGCATGGAAAAAAGGAAAACTAAAACCTTCCTCCTGCTATAAAAACAAAATAGTGTGGCCTCTGTTCCTTTTCTGATAAGAGTCTTAAATACCAAACAGTTAACTGCATAATAACATTTACTGGCAGCCAGGCAGCCTGCTTAGCAGATATATAAAGCAGGTAAAAGGAGAAAAAGTTAATTTCTTGGCTGAATGATTCCATCGGTAGCTATAGGGCAAACCTGAAAGTCTTTTAGTAAAGTAGCAGTTGGTTCTTCTATCAATCTGTAGCACACATACTCTTCCAAGGAAAGCATTAAATATGAAAATCATATCCCGTTATCATCTGTTTCCAGCTTTCAGCCCAGTAAGCTTTTCTTAATGAATGCTGCAGCCTAAGGAACAAGCATGCTGTTGGCTTTTCTGAATAATGGAGTGATGCTACCATTTTTGCTTATTACAATATCGACTGGCTGAGGGGGTTTCACACATAGTCACAAGTGACTACTCTTGCCAGCATGCTCCAAGTTATTACAAGATGTTTTTAGACATTTCATCTAAAAGAGCTTTACTGCTTTTAGTGAAGAAAACATCTATGGTCTTGAACAGAATCATTTATATGGAGATAGGCTGCAGGATTAGAAGCCTGCATTACGGCAGATACATAGCAGAATTTATTTAAGTATTCCTTGCCAGTCTTTTTGTCCGTTGCTTAGATATGCAATCTTTTCTTTCCACTTTCTCTGTGAAAAGGTTAAAATGTACAAAATTATATATACAAAGAAAAGAAGCAAAATGCTGTATTTTGTTTACCTTTTATTTAAAACATTTCTGGAACAACGAAAAAAAGCAGCGACAAATCATTATTTAGAAAAACATAATTTTACCTGCTAACAACACTAAGGTTTTCTTTGGAATCTATCTCTTTTAAACCTGCTGTGACTGCCTTTTAGCAAATTTAATTGAATTAGACATGAAAGCAATACTCTATAAGTAAGTCTTTAAATAATACTTAAGGTTTAATCAAAAAGATCTTTGTAATAAGATAATTTTATTTAAAACAATATAGTAAAAGAGGAACACTTCAGAAATCCTCTGTTAACAGAAACTTTATTGTTTTAACTTATTACCTTTTCTCTGTCTTCATCTTTCAGTTCACCTTTCACTCCAGGGCTATCTTTTGAGAATAGCTGCATCTTCTTAATTTGAGTCTCATATTCAGTCTAAACAGAAACAAAGTTTTGATTTTGTGGTAGCTCTTATTATAACCAGAACCTGTCTATATTTTTCAGTCTTTAGAGCATAAAACAGTGAAGTAGAAAGTAAATGCTAATGTTGCCAAGAAATTTAACTTATCTTAGAATAGATAATTTCACAAATAAAATGTCAAAAGCTGAGGTCTATAAAATTCTGTATGTTTTTAAATAAGACCTGATGGATTCTTACTGTCTTCCATCAACTTAGAGAATAAAACCTTAGAATATTAAGCTATCAGGAAAATCCTGTTACTTTATTATGAAAGTGGCACATTAGACAGTGTTTACCCTGAAAAGTTTTGTCCTAAAGGAAATCAATCCTACTGACTTCTTATCTGTATGATATCTACATTAGTATCATGGTCCTACTAGTCACAGCAACAGAGTATATTATTTGCTAGATCATCAACTTGAAACAAACTCCATTTTCTATGAATAAAAATATACAGGAGACATCAATGATCAGTACCATAGCAATGAAGTTTGCTCTGGCACTAATAACTACATAAAGATGCCTGCATCATTATCGTACTATAAGTGATGAAAATGATTCCATCATAAAATGACTTTTTCTTAAAAGCAAGGCATAAAAAGGGCTTTGATTCAATATGTTAGTAATTAAAGCCTTAAGCCTCATGGATGGTGGTCCATCACAGATAAATATCAGAACATTTTCTAAATTAGGCTGTGATGCACTGCAATTAGAAAAACACCTATGAGATAATCAGAGAACTGTTTCCTTAGTTCTTAGTCTGAACATGAAATCGGCCTGAGCTTTGTTTTCACATACAAAAAAAACAATCACCATGAAAACTCACTTGTTTCCCTTAAAATATCTTAAAAGATATTATGTGCTGGCCCATTTTTCATAAGAGTTTAGAAGGGAATTTTTTTTCTCTATCAGAATGCTATTAACATGATAGATGACACTAAAAATCTATAGAGATACCTGATCAAATGAAACTTTTATAAAGCTGGCACAAATAATAAACCAAGAAAAGATTAAAAATAAGACAATTAAGATAATACAATTTACATCTTTATGTTCTGTATCTACCTCTCTGGACTCAGATATTACTTGTTAACCCCAAGAGCTTTCAAATGGCATGATTTACAGGTTCTAAGGGAAAGTATCTTTTAAGAACGGTGGGGGTGGATTATGATATAAACAAAATAAATATTGAGGTTTATTAAATAATTGCAGGTTAAACAAAAACTCTTTGTCCCTCTGGCTGCAAATATTTTCTTATGTTCTTTCAGATTAGTTATAAACATGCAACAGGCATGGTACCTACTTTCCTCATATGGGATCATTTCAGAGCCATACCTTCTAAAGACAGAGCACTTTCTCATGGAAACCTGTGAGTTTTGTTTAATTCATTCTGCTGCAGCAAAAACTTAAAACTGCATTAGGGCTTTGATTTGTATTTCCCTGATGAGGAGGGATGCTGAGCATCGTTTCATGTGTCTGTTGGCCATCTGGATGTCCTCTTTGGAGAAGTGTCTGTTCATATCTTCTGCCCATTTCTTCACTGGGTTGTTTGTTTTTCGGGTGTGGAGTTTGGTGAGTTCCTTATAGATTTTGGATATTAACCCTTTATCTGATATGTCATTTGCAACTATCTTTTCCCATTCCGTTGGTTGCCT